AACCCCGTTGATGTGTCAAGTTGCGATCATGGAGAAAGTGCTTATCCAACTACCTGGCACGGCCTTACCCTACAACGTCAGCAGCTTTGCCCAACGTTATAAGATACGGGTCTTGCATTTCTCATTTTCCCTCCCTCCGCAGCGACGCCCTAGTGACAGTTTCTCTCCCATCTTTTCCTCTTCAATACCAAACGACTACAAGGCGACCAATCCACTAGTCCCGCCTCTCGCGAATGCCTCATGCACACTTGCACCGTGTGCTTGTCAGCAAGGAGAGCTTCTGCTTTTGACACCACATCGTTCTAGGTCGAGAGTTGCTTCATCGTTCTCACCTTCGTCAAGATGTCCACCAAACCGAATCCTTCGAACGAGGCAGCTTACGTCACTTGGCTGGAAGAAAAGGTGCAGATCGAGACTGCGTCTCAGCCGCTTACGTGGATTTGCTGGCTTTGTCTTGGAATATGCATCGGAGACATTACGACGCAAGCGCATCGCGAGCTCAAGATGCGAGGAGAGTGGAAGCGACCTGCTGTGATGACCTACTTTGCCATCCGCTTCTTTTCGCTAATGGCCTTCATCAGCGCCGTTGTCTGGTGCACTACGGGCGGTATGAGCGATGTACAGGCATCGGTCTGGTCAAAGCTTTACATCATCTTCGAGAGCTTTGCCCACGCTGCCATTTTCGCCGTCCTGCTGCTTCGCACTCTCACGCTCTACCAAGGACGCTATCAAGCACGCGTGCGAGAAATTTGCGTCGTCTCTTGGCTGTGCGTATCACTTTTCGGTCTGGTCAATTGCGTCACCTATCAGTCTTTCCAAAGTCCACACGAATTGCGCCTTCCATACTCACTTGCGCCAAAGTATGGATTTCTGCGCATCTGCCCGTACATCCTGAGCTTTGTGTTCTGCTTAGCCATGACGGGCCTGACGGTCGTCGCCGTCCGAAGACAGATGCAAAGGATGGAAGACGTATCGATCTTGAGCGCTGCTCATCAACGCGCCGTCACGACGCCTATCATAACGAGGATCATGCAGCACCAACTGATCTACTTTGTCGTTTTGGCTTCGTCAACGGCCCTGGTCGGAGGTTTGCAGAGCGTCGATGCTATACCGAGCTACTATGGCTTCATCCCGAATGCTCTGGTTCTGGTCGTCCAAGCAACATTGGCATGCAATATGATACTCGGCATGCGCTTTCCCACTCGTCGCGCCCCTTGCATAGACCCGGCAGGGCTGGTGCACAGTCAGAGTAGACGATCTGAAGTCCCTGGATCACCCTGGCAAGCACCTCTGAGCCCCGTCAAGCGGGCATACGGCGCTCAGGGCTATCGCTATACGGTGGAGCAGATCCAACATATCTCTCCCAGGTGGGTGCCAGACACCCAATCGGAAGCGGATGACGAATTGAAGCGAATGGGGACGAGGGAGTAGCGGAGCCAAGGGCGAAACACAACAGCTACCTTTACCTACTATCGCAAGTTTCCTCCCTTTCCCCCCTTCTCCATCTCACGTTCCGCCTTGCGAACTTATTGACGTCAGTTCCCATCCTTGCATTCTTCA